CATGTTCGTCTGCTGTTGTAAGCTACATCGTAAGGCATATGTAAATGAGCATCAATGGCATCAATATCCGTGATGGTTGAATTGAAAAGGTTGTCTGCGGTCACTGGGTCATCTCCTTTCCCACGGGCGTAGTCTAAAGCTTCTTGCCTTGCCCCTGTAGACCACTGGCTCGAGAACCATGTCTCGAACTTATAGCTCCAAGCTTTCGAATGCTTGCCAGCTTTCCTCGTGAGACCCTTTGAGCTGCTCAGGTTCACCCATGCCTTTAATATCAACCGCACCGGGTTTACTCTTCAAGTTCTTGAGAGCTTCTGTGAGCGCAGCTGTTGATGCTGCCTGGCGCCTTGCAATCTGAGCTTGCCCCAACTGAAGACTCTGAAGAATCTGCCCAAGCATGTTTTCTGCAGCCGAGCCACCTCCTGCTCCTGTGGGTGAATCACTTGGTGACGCTGCTCCTGGTTGTGACATTGCCCCTACTGGTAGGGCAATTGACGGGACAAGCGATCAAGGAGTGAACGGCGGTACACTTGCAAGTACCTACCAAGCAGTCCAAAGATGCTCTGGAATTTCCTGATTCCAAACGGTTTCCTCACCCAACGTGCCCACTGACTCTCTGGGCAGACGGGCGCGCTGTATCAGCACTTCCCGTCGCAGGCTCAACCAAGTCGCTACCTGAACCAGAACCAGGAAGCTCCGCTACCGCGCAAAGAAAATTAGAGTGGATCTAACCACTCCCAATCAACTCAAGCGCAGCGGCTTTCCTTTCTTGCTCTGGGCTCTCAGTTCAGCTTCTGGACTCCGCTGATGGAGTCAAGTGAAAAGGGGTTGCGGGACACATGCACAGTCCACATGCAGCAAGCTACCTTACACGCTAGCAACTCTCTAGATGGCTACACATCTCTACACAAATGCACGCGAGTATCCACTCAATGTAGACGTGGAGAACGTAAGGGGTTTTAAAGGGGAGTAACATATACATATATATATATATACATATACTCGAAGTCACATATATACTCTATGTTTGATAACTGTTGCAGCTCTCCGCCCTTTGCGCCGCTTTTGATGAACGCATGCGTCCAGCTATATATATTTATATATGTTTAATCGACAATCTAGGTAAACGTAAAAGAAAAATACACGGACAAATAGACAAAAAAAATAGTTAATTACGATGAGCAGTCGCGGCGCGACAAGCACCATGTCGCCCCACCATTCGACTTTCATGGCAGACCCATATAGAATCGCCCCACAGCGTTTCGGATGCCTTTCTAGCCCGTCGCATCTGCACTGCCACACACAGGCATTTGCCTTCACCTGCAATTGGATGCGTTCGCAGTTGGGCCACCAGCACCACCTTAAGCAGCAGCGATCTCCACGGCAGCTGCCAAATCCGCCAAGCCCACAGGCAACCTTTATGGCGTGGGGCTGCAGCATCTCTGAATTTGACGGCATTCCGCCAGAACTCTGTCCAAGGCCAACACCAGCGCTGGCACGCTAGCGGGGCTGAGTTGGCCGTCTAAAAGTCGATGAAGGGCTTCCCTGTCAGGCGCCAAAGGCAGGGAACATGGCTTCCTGGGGGTCGATGCGGATTGAAGTTCTTGCATCCATGCTCGATGTGATTTCGGAGGCTGAAGAAGGAGGCCAGTGTCTTCATGCAGTGGGAGCATGTTGGAGTTCCATCTGCAGAATCTCGTGCTGGTTGAAACACGCATGGCTGCTCATCCGTAGCAACAGTTCGGCGCCTCTCCACAGATCCTGGGAGTGGATGATCAGGATCTGGTCGAGGAGGTTCCAGACTGGTTACGTGCTCTGTCAGGAGGTCAGCAGACCGCAACTGTTCAGTTGCCGAAAGCATCACAACTGTGAGTGGCAGCCTTGTCAATTCCACAAGCCAAACAAGCTCTGGTGTCGTTGATCTGCAGGACAATCTCAGGTCTTCGACTTGGAGGCCTCCCACATAGAGTGATACCAGTATGAAAGGCCCTGGCACAGATCATGCAATGCTGCCTAATCCAGGCAGTGAGGTCCGGGCGTTCAAAAAGAGCAACCCAAGCATATGCGCCAACATACTGCCGCATATCTTCATCGTCACATGGAGGCAGTTGGTGAGCTCGGTGAGGGTCAAACATGGTGCAACTGTTAAATTCAATGCGATGTATGAGTCCAGTCCATTGTGCAAATTTGCCCAAACAGTGAGTGCACTGCGGTCGTCCATGAAGAGCATCTCTCAAGTTGTAAAACTGTTCAAACAGTGGCAAGGCCTTGCGTCTCTTTGATAAATGACGATTCAACAATGCCATCAAGTCAAACATCTGTGCGCAATATGGACAGCTGTGAGTCACAGGCACGGAGGTGGAGCTGGGTCCCGGTGTGTCTGCATGAGCCACCTGAAACACTCGCATGACTCGACGTTGAACAGCATCAATGGGTATTCTGTGTAGGTAGTCTCACGTGGGCAGGCCTCGACGGTGGGCTCTGAACTTGTCGAAGGTTTGCCGCCATCTGTCCTGGAAGAAGAGTCTGGGAGGTTTGACGCCAAGTCCGCGGAGAACATCCTCCGCGCGCTCGTGCGTGTCACATGTTGTGGTGACTTCCCTTCTTCGAATGTCTAAGTGGACTCTGTTGCATAGCAATTGAAGTCCCTCCTGTCATAGGCCACTGCATCCAAGTCCATGCGCGCAGCTCGATAGTACGCAGGTGGACCACAGTTGCGCCCGGTCCCGGCTAGTGAGAACATGTTTGCCATTGAACCAGGGTTTCATGCGAGTTCGAGTGATTTATCCAATATGAAGTCTGTGTTTCAACGTCAATTGCTCAAAGTTGTTGAAGGATGCATCTTGACGTCTTGTCAAGTGTTTGAGACATGTCTTCATACCTTTACTCTCAAATCGAAGCAATATTGCCGTCTTCACGAATGAGATCACCAATCCAACTTGTTCAGATAATCGCAATCTGTCTGATGACTTGATGCAGATCCTGCGCGCTATGTATGCTCCATTTGCTCAAAACATCAGATCCACTCAAAAGCCTCGTTGGGGGATTGGTCATTGATGGTCATCCCTATTCGATGACTCTCGCCCTTCCCAAGGCCGCAAGTCTTGGGCCTCAAGTCGGCCGGAGAGAGAACTTTCTTCTTGGCCAGAAGTGTGAGGTGTGCATCCTTCCAACATGCTGGTCGATGACCCTCTCAGTCCAACATAGGTCGTGATATCCTCATAGGTCCTGAGGCTGGTGAGGCCAAAGTCCTTGAGCAGGTTTCGGAGCACCATGACGTCTGAGGCTGCTACACCTGGTCCAGTTTTGAGGGAGGTGTTGAAATCGCCTCCCAGAACAAGAGTGTTCCGAATTGGGAGTTGGTGCAAAAGTTGTTGAACCAGATTCGAAATTTCAAGTCGATTCTTCAGTGGTTCAGGTAGATGTTGACCAGGTCAAGCTGGTGCTTGTTGAGGTGACAACGAACATGAAGGAGTCGTCCCGCTAGCCAGTCCTGATAGCTTATACCCATCCATGGTGCGTAGAGAAGCACGGACAACAGTCAACAGGCCACCTCCTGCTTTGTGAAGTTCAGGGAATGGGACAATATGAAACCCATGGGATGTCCAAGGTTCCGAGAATGTCCCATGTGTGCTCTGGATCATCATGGCATCCAGTTGGCGGAGGGATGCGCACTGCAAGAGCTCCAGAAAGCCCTCTGAACTGGGGGTTATGGAGTTCCAGCAGCAGATGGCAATCCGCTTCCGGCGTCGTCCTGTAGGTGAAGGCGAGCTGCCACCAGGAGTGTCCTTGTCAGTCCTGGAGGAAGGAGCTCCAGTAAGCAAGCGGCCATGGTAGTAGGCAAAACCATGAAGTGCAAGTCTTTGCTGCGCTCTTTTAAGATTCTTTTTCGAATTCTGTTGATCCCGTGGGATCCCTGGGGCCCTGTGCCGTGAGTTTCGGGGGAAATAACAACGGATCTTCGTCCAACATCTTCCCCTCTCAGGTGAGGCACGGCCCTCACCTGGAGGTTCGGCGTGAAGAGCTCAAGCCACGGTGCAGCCAGAGCTACTGCCAATCCAAGCAGGAGCCAGCGGCCCACGGGAGGCCCAGACCCCCAAAGCAAATGCAGCTGAGTATCAGCCGCCATGGTGCATGTCACACCGTGGCCGGGGTCAGCCCATCTCGACCCAAAAGGCTGATAGATAGATAGATAGATAGATAGGTAGATAGATAGGTAGATAGATAGGTAGATAGAGGCAGACAGACAGACAGACAGACAGACAGGCAGACAGGCAGGCAGGCAGGGAGGCAGGCAGGCATGTATGTTGCACTCTCACTATTTTATGGCAATATATATATATACATATCATTGCGTTTGTTGTGACTGAGGAACCCGCATCTCCCCAGCCATGCACGGTGAAGGTCAAATCAAAGCGCACCAGCCTCAGATGTGAAAGGAGAAGTCACCAGTGCAGAGTGCCCTCTGGCTCTTGAGAATCAAGTCAAATACACTGAGCTTGGGCTCAAGCAAGGAATGTAGTAGCTGCGCAAAACGAGGTTGAAGTGGGGGGAAGCTCATCCTCGGAAGGTGGTGCGTTCGGGAACTCATCTGATTTTGCAAAGTTGTGCCCAAAATCGAAGTCTTCCAAATGACCCTTTGCTCCAATTGAATTGAATGTCGGCTGTATGCGTTTAAGTCGCAAGGCTGAGAGCACCGCAGGAAGCGTGTTCCTTCATGGCTGCCTGTCTCCAAGACTCGCAACAAGTATGTTTCTCTGCTCCAAACTTCAAAGGTGAAAAGTCGAGTGAAGAAGACACGAGAAGCAAACTCTTATGCTTATCAGGCTAATAATTGGTGGCGCATTGTTGCTGCAAGCCTCGGCGCGCCCGCACCACCAGCGAAGCTAGATCCTATTGCAAAGTCACTGGGTTTTTGGAAGATCTTCCCTGATTCCATGTTTATCAACACTGTTGACTCTCCTCACCTCCTCGGCAAGCGACAAAAACCTTCTCGACGACCTTTACAGCTGTTCTCTATGGTTCCAGCTGCATAGTTGCAATTCTAGAATAGAGCTGGGGTATTTGACATTCTCACGCTCAACAATGCCCTTCCAGCAAACGGCAAGGAAAGCACAGCAACCGCAACCGTACTCTTTTGTCTAAGCTCTCGAGCAAGCGCTGCATTTGCACTTTAGTCAATCTGCTTCGCTCCCCACTTTCCACTTTGCGCATTCGGCCCCGTTGGCTGCGTTGGCTCCGTTGGCTCTTGTCACTAAGATCCTGCTTCAACGCTTCACAGAGTTTCCTTCTTGAACGAAACTTGTTTGCCAGGAGCAAGGCCTTCTTGCTGCTGATGCCGACCTGGCAAAATGGTATATACTCTTTCTCCAAAGGTTTCGTCTGTTGAAACATGCAATCCTATAGGTTGCAATAGTCAAGAAGTTCACGAACGTGCCATGCCATATCACTATATGCGAAAGTTCGTGCGCAGCAAGGTGCCTTGGCAATGTCGTTGACCAGTGCCACGTAGGTCAAAGCGCTACCATCAAGAAATTCAGTGACCAAGTTCAATGCACCTGTGGTATTGAGTTTTGCTAGCTTCATGGCTCCAAAAACAGGATCCAACTCAGAGATCAAGGCCTCGAGCAAGTCAGAGATTGCAGGAGATACTGTGTAACAGGACCAGAATAGACAAGAGTTACAAAGTTCCCTTAGTTCGGAGAGTCTCTTCGTTGATTGTCTTGGCTTTTGCAACATTGAACAAGTCTCCCAGAACCACACCATGTTACTTCTGCTGATTATTTCAATTAGTTCGTTTTTTGCATTTATATCACTTCACTCTGTGAGCTCAAATGTTTTGCCAACTTGCGAGCCTTGCAAAGTGAGGTGGCATCTGGATATTGCTCCGAGATCTTGGCTGCACTGGCTTCTGAGATGCCATTCAATGAAGCAATACGTTGTCTGTATTCCTCGAAAGCCAGCGCCTCCTGAGCAATCTCTGAGCAATGATGGCCCCCTACCATCTCAGAGAGGCTTCTATAGCTATCTTCTTGTCCACTTTGCTTCACCAAACATGTGTTTCTGTTTGAACACTTGTGTACAAAGAGCGAGCACTTGGATTTCATGGGCCCTCCTTGCCAGCAAGCTCCTCCACTAAACTTACCTTTGCTGGCCGTGAAAGCCGCGGGAAAAGCTCTGATAGGGCCCCAACAGGATCCTGCTGTCCTTCAAGAAACTGTATTTGCAACAAAAGACTGAACAACTGAAGGAGTCAGCACCACTTCCAGAGGAAGAATGCCTGATGTGATGCCTGATGTGATGCCGACTGCAAAAACATCTGCTTGTGCGAGGGGTACTTTCAAACTCAAGACAATCTCAGCATATACAAACAGATAGAGTTGATTGCTTATGTGACAAACTCATGGTTAAAGTGTCTGCCTCTAACTTGATGCGGTTTTGACAAAGTTACTTGCGGAGGTGCCAAGCTGGCCTCTGATGTTGCACTCACTAGGACATGCTAGGAGTGCGGCGCTGAGGTCTCGCCGACCCTCGTTGAATCTGAGTGATGTGTTAGTTTTCCGGCCAAAAGTTCCACGGCTCAGCGCAGCGCAGTTTTCTATATCGTACCGATCATGATTGCAGTCGTGATGCAGGGTTATGGGATTTGTGCATTTATGATATGTCAGGCAGGATTGTGAGTTACTTTCAAGGGTGGTGTGGTGATTTGTACAAATTTATGTGGTTTTTACCAGACGAGTTTGGCGACTCAGGGCTTTTTGACATCTGTTACATTTTGCGGTTTTATGGTGATTTGCGATTTGCGACGATTGCACAAGGGAGAGCATTTGGCTGACTTTCAGTCAGTGGACGCTTTACGACGCCGAAGGTGGAGCTTTAAGCGAGTGGGTTATTTAAGTGGCTTGGGGCAAAATCATGAACTTCTGTTCTTTTCGTAAGCTAAACTGCTTGCGCATTCTGTAATTATTGTCTTTTTTCATAATTGTGTTGTGCTTAGGCATTTAACCTTTTATAAAACATGTTCATTCCTTCTTTCAAAATATATACATGTACAATACACACAAAAGAAGTACCAGCACGGTGCAAATGTATAAACCACATTGTACTGCTTCGCAACAATGACAATGGTGACTTTTTTCGATCCTGTATTGGCCAGCTAAGCTTTCCCTCAGATCCTCTGGCACTATTGATGTCTGGTTACGACCTCATGCACATTGTCCTTCTAGGAACTGCTGCATGTTCTCCCTGGTGCTAAAATGGCCAACTAAAGCAGTCGCAGAGGTGCGGGATATGCCTTGAATGGCCTCACTCTCACACCCGGTCATCACGACTGCTGAATTCAAGGCGAGGCGGCAGGGCATGAAAATATCTGCAAAAAACAATGAAAGAAAATGCAAGAAAATTGAAAATTGAATGCAAAATGCCAGGCAGAGCCGCTTCAAGGGAGGAGGTGAAGTTTTCCCGCTGCAGAGTGTCCTTCCCTGCCAGTGTCTCTGCGAGACGGACTGCCGTGGGCCTCCTCAAGGGAGAAGAATTCTTCCCGATGTTTGCCTTGTCCACGAGCCATTGCCTGCATTGCCAACTCAAACAACAAGTACAAGTCTGATTTGAGCCATAGCAATGACAGTCGTGAAATTTCACACCAAAAGGGTGGCTCCAAAGCATAGAGGGAGGGGGTGGCTCCGAAGCCGGAGAGACTTGCGCAGCGCCGATGCTTGCCTTTGAAGTTCTGACGGGATGTAGCGAGGACTTCCAGCATATAAGCGTCTTGTTGGTAAACTATTTTTTCACCTCTAGGAGTTTCCCTCTGCCATCCAAATGCTAATTAATGCACCCTCTGGAAATCTGACACAGGCAGTTTTTATGGCACAGAGCAGGCCGCATGCGCATCAGGAAGTTGGGGACGCACGACGTGAAGGAGAGTGTGACTCAGTGACAAGTATGGGGGGCAAGTAGGCCACGAGACCAAAAAGGCTACTGGACACAGACGCAGAGGCTTCTTCAAGGAAGCTGCCCCCGCCTGAGGGTGAGGGGAGTTTCCTTGAAGAGTGCAGCTTTCCATTCCAGCGACAATGTGCTTGAGGATGCAGGGCCAGACGGACAAACGACTCTTGCATGGAAAGAGAAAAGCCGGCAACAGAAGGCAGAAACAACAGTGAAAGAGACAAAAAAACTTGAAGAACACGCTGATTCTTTTGAACATTGTGTACAGTTGTCATGGATCGAAGCACATCACGGCCCAACTCCCGCAGGAAACAGGTTCGCCAAGTCACATGGTCACACCGCTCCCTGCCAATTCAACTGCTAGCGGGGCATTCGCTCCTTTGCTTTTTTGCTTCGTCGATCCAGGTCATCGTGGTGGTGGGAATGGTGCTGCGCAGCCCTCCACCTCCTGATCGTAGGAGGTAAGGCTACTCTGAGGAGTCAGTTCGGGTCCGTCAAAGCAATGGATCGTGGGCAGCGATCGTGGGAGTTTTGAGGTCGTGAGTGGGAAGATCCCGCCGATCTGCTGCGTCGTCTTTTGTGATTTTCTGGCAGAACACATCACAATCAAGCAGCCGGCCACACCTCGTCCTCTTTTTAAAGATGTCTTGGACGCGATGAGGCATCATGGTGGCAATGGGCTGGGCATTCCTGGGGTTGGTCTAGGGGCGACAAAACCAACCTGCTTGGCACGCTTGGCTGCTTGGCCGCCCGAGCCGGATCGCGACCAAGCCCTTGATGGCGTGGCGGATTGGTGGAAGTTCGATAGCAAGTTAGATGATCGTGCCTGATGTGCCTGCATGTCCTCCTGGTGCATGGCAACTGCGAAGACGAAGATGGTGGCTCCAAGAGCCAAAGATAGAAAGAAAAACATGAAACCAGGGCCTATCCCCATCCTGCCTTCTTTTCGGCACTGCCGACTGAGTCGTACAAGGAATGGCGGCGCGCTGTCCGGATGTGGATGCATACCATCCATTCTGACCAGGGAGCTGACAGTCGCAGAAGTGTCCGGTCCTGACGGCCTAGCATTGATTTTTCGACACTTGAGAGTTCGTCCTAGAGGAGAAAAAGAGTCAACGCGGGTGCAACCAACTGTACCGTGGCCGGGGCTGCAGCTAGCGCAAACAAGAAGCAGACGGCAATTCCAGAAGGTCATCAACCAAAGCACCTGCACCTTGGTCCATGGCATCGCCAACCCATGCCGCAATGACGGCTGTGTTGGACAGTTTTTCTTGACAGACAAAGTCAGAAGCCTTCGCACGTCGCGAGCGGATATATGGTCGCTGCAAATCGGGTTTCTTAAATTGGCCTCCAAGCCTTAATGGCTAAACAATCTCAGCTGACACACCATGAAGCTGTGTCAAATCTGTAGCCGGCAGTGCCTTGATTGAGCGTGAGATTGCCTTTCGTCGCCATCTATGTAAACATGCGCTTGTTGAACGCGCGGCCGATTGGTTCCGTTTTGGGGATGGAGTGAAGAGATTGTCTCCGTACAGGGTTCATTTGGAAGTCTCCCTCAAAGGCCACGTTGGCCTGATCGCACTCGTGAATTTTGTTGGGTTGGAGAGAGGAAGTATCCATTATCTGTTGCGGATCAATGATTGATTGCCTCGTAATCCAACTTGGCATGAGCTGGATCATGAACAACAAAAGAAGCCCAAAGCTGTAGGGAAAGCTTCAAAGTCCAGGTCCCACGCTCACAAAACCGTGTGAACAAGTCCAGTTCCTACCGGGAGCCTGCCATCCACTCGCGCTGGGAGGAGGAGGAACAGGATGCCCATCTGTTGGGGATCCTAACAGCTGCTTAGCGCAAAGCGGGTTTGAGCGTATGACATGGGGCATATGAAAACCATAGCTCTTCGCGCCAATCACGAACTTAGTGTGCAGAATGAGAAGGAACCAAAGCTAGCAGAAGCCTCTTGCTGTCAGGCTAAAAACCGGCTGCTTCGAAAATGCGGGAAGAATGGCTGCAGGTAGCGCAAAGCCGTGACCTGACCATGCCTTCATCCCTGGTTCAGCAAATTGCTGATGGTGAGGCGCGCATAAGCACCAATGCCTGTCTCAGTCAGGAGGATGAGCTGAATCCCATGGAACAGTTGCGATGTGCGTCCATCTCAGTTTTCCAGTGGCTCGACTCACACGCAGGTAGTCTGAACGCACGATCTCGTCCGCCCAACCTTGTTTCTCTGGCACCAGGTACACAGGTCTACTTCCACAAGCTGCAAGGACTACATCGCCGGTTGCAAGACAATGCGACAGGTCAGCATGGGCCGGCCATTGTTGCTGCCACGGAGGGCGTGGATAAAGTTTGGGTTAGATATAGGGCCAGTCGGGTAGTGTAGTCCGGGGTTGCTCGGGAGAACTTTCGACTACCAACCCCCGGAAACCAGCACAAAACCCCTGCCACCCCCCCTAAAAAAAAAATATATATATATATACCGACGGAGGGTAAGTTAGAATGCCTGGCTGATATGTGTTTTCTTTTTCTATGCAGTTAGAACGTGACGGTAAAATACGCACAAATAGAATGAGCAGCAAAAATAGGCAGGTAGAATGCGGGCGAACAAAAAAGGGTCGCACATTGAATGCGTGGCAAGAGGGTGGCGGAATTGCCCTATTTTTCACGTTTCTTCACTCTCGCAAATGCATTGTCTCATGATTACATTCCGAATCTGTGATGGTCCTTGCATCCCTATAGCTCATACAGTACATCTGCATGAAGTCCACAAAAGCTTACATAGTAAAGTTGTTGCGAGATATATATAGAGAGAGAGATAGTGACAGACTGAAACTTAGAACGTTGAAAATCAGTTAAATGCAGAACGCTGGTCATGCTGGCATTCTAAGTTTCACTCGGTCGCTGGCAATCCAGGGAAAGGTATCTTTTCAAACCTGATGTTCACAAGGACATTGTTTGTATGTACGCATGCGCGTTCTATATGTGAATTGCGAATGGCTGACAGTTAGAAAGACATTGTGGGGGGACGCAATATGGACTTGCCTTTGGAGCCCTTGGACACGATTGCCACTCATTCTAACTGCAGGGAAAAGTTTGGACACGCAATTCTATCATGTCCGTCCAGACAGAGAAACCTGAGTCTTTTTGAGAAACCCGTCTCCGAAGCTTACAGGTTCGTAAACATAAAAACCATGGCCGGAAGGGGCGTTCAGAATGCCCACAGATAGAATGGGGCGTCGCAAATATGTGCGGGGGTGTTTTGGCTCTCCTCTCGAAACATGTGCTCCGGCCCGGGCATTCCAACTTCCCCTCCGGAAACAAATATATATATATATAGTAATATTATATGTATATATACACGAGGTTCTCAAAGAAATGCGGCAAGAGCTGACCGGCGCCAGGCGGTTGTCCGGATACGAAGACATCAGCCAAGAGAGTCGCAACGCAGAGCAGCCAGAGCTGTCAAGGAGGGTTAGAGGGCACGTCAGAAAGCCCGAAGCCCTAATCCCTGAAGCGCAAGATGAGACATGTGCACAGAGCTGTGAGACGAACAGCGGTCAGCCAGTAGTGTTCCTTCCGGTCTGGCACCAAAATCAAACAAAAGGTAGAATACTTCAATCGGGGAACGGGTTCTCAAGTTTGGAAGACTTTCAAGCTCGCCTTGAGCAGCCCTGCAGCCTCGAATCCGCGCTCTCTCGTGGCTGGAGACAGACCTTCGTTTGGCAGCTAACATGTTGCCTCAAGGCCTGGAACTGCTGATGAAGCAGAAAAAAGAAAAATCTGCCTGATCCAGAAACCATGGGCTCTGGGCTCTCTCAAAAAGGTCACAACGAATGATTTTTTCCAGACCTGGAAATATTTTAAGGCCAGACTCCCCCCCGCTCAGCAGGTTTGGATTTCAATGTGTTTGAGGTGGGGGTTGTTCCTTGGGCTCCTGCATGTTTTTCGAAGTCACAGCACGTAGTATAGAAACCAATGACGAGGAGGGACGATTGAAACTGGAATGTAACGCCAGAGAAGATCGTTTTTCCATGTTGGAACAAGGGTTCGACGATCACCTCATGAAACTAAATCTTCAAGCAATGCGAGCTGGAAAGGGGTCGTGGGACTGGTGGCGCGTGCAACTTGCGTCAGAAAATTCAGCTGACTATTCCAGCCTCGGCCAGAGCTTTGGCCATCATTTCGAAAATGATGCCATCAAACCACTAGCTTCCCTCAAGGAGATCTGCAGAGTTGGGTTCCTAAACTCAGTACCTTTACATGCGCAAATTGGCTGCAGGATATTGTGAGCAATCCTTTGGCCGCAACTACCTGACGCCACTCGGAACCTGAATCTGTCGCAGTGGCAAGCCCCTGCAGGGAAGGCTTCTGACAGGTACAAACTCAGCTTGCGTTTGCAGAACATAGGGTTGGAGGCCAGAGAGACTGAATATACTTTTCCAAAAATGAAGAAAGGACTGATGGAGCAGATTGAAATGGGATCCTGAAACCCCAACCCTGGACTCTGAAATTGGCATTCTAATCAAAATGAATATGTGTTAGAGAGCTGGGAAAGTATAGCTACTTTACTTGTTCGAGAACTGTCTTTTCAAATTTTGAAAGAAAATGCAGTTTACATTGGAAACCTTAAGGGCTGGCTACACTTCCTGTTGCCCTTGCAACATCATGTAGTTTTTCTAGCTACAGTAGATCGCACAATGGGATTACCTCGGGCTAAATTGAATTTAACGGTCGACAGTGGCTTCAGGCGTGCGCTTGCGAAACAGAAAGGCATCAATGACTCACCCCAAACAAGGCGCTGCCAAATAGTCGACGCCCTACACAAATCATACTTGCAGTTTAAGCAGAACCTTTCAGCTGCAGCAAGTTTCAAAAAATTCAGCAGCATCCTTGCAGCTGCACCAAGTTTCAAGAATGGAATGCCTCAACGATTCGGTTGACCCACATGGCACTGTTGAACATTAAACTGTAACGCTGGAACCGACCAAATCCAGTGGATACGCCAATATCACCTATTAAAACATACCCACAGGGAAGCTAGTACATCAAACCAGTCCAAGCTGGACAACTGGCGCCCAAAGAAAGAGTCATCAGATCACGCATGGTGACCGTAAACACGAAACAGTTGTCGAATGGTTTCGAACCTAAGGGTAGACTGTGTGTTGGGGGGCCATCGAGGTCCCAACCTCGAGCAGTATGGCGACGCAGCCAGCCCAACAGCACTTTCGTTAGCAGTTAGCGCACACCTTGTTGATTTGTATCGCAATCACCTTAGGCTGGGAGATAAATAAAGCCGATGTTACAGCCTGCCTTTTTGCAGGGTCTTGCACTCCCAAGCTCAGAACCCCTGCAAGTGCCGTCAGGATGTCCCAAAGAAGTCACGGACTACTTGAGTTCGTTTGCGGGCTAGAGTGACATGCTTGAAGAAACAAAAGGATTTTTTGGATTGAGCGAATCGCCCAGGCTCTGGTATCTTCGTTTTCGAGATACCCTGGACTGATCCTTGTCTTTTCATGAAACACAACATACAAGGGCAGTTGATCGGCTTGATCACCTTGCACGTCGACGACACATTGCTGACTGCAAGTGCAGAAGTGTAAAATGACTGGCAAGAGCTTCAACGTCAATTGAAGTTCGGTAGCTGGACCCATTTGCGGGAAGGTGGTCGAGTCATGCGCCAAAGTGAAGATCAACAATCGGTGACCAATGACATGACTCAATATTGCCCTGCAAATCAAGTTCGACGCACATATGAAAGATGATGACCCAGTGAGCCAACAGGAGTCCGCCCAGCTTCGGGCCCGAGTTGGACAACTTGGTTGGCTCGCAAAGCCAGGAACGCCAGATCTGGCCTTTGCAGTGTCTTTCCTCCAACAGGCGTCCAATTCGTTGACCAAGTTACGTGGCACAAAAATGTGCTTTCCACAGTTCTGTCAAATCAACAATGGACAGTCGTGGAGGATGAAGCATGGCAGCGGGTTCGTGCTCACCAAAGATCCACTCAGTGAGCCTAAAAATCCAGGCTTCGATCTGAGAGGGAGGGATCGGGTGAGTCAAAAGATGCTTGAAGAACATGCCGTAACATGCCGATTCTTTTGAACATTGTGTGCAGTTGTCATGGATTGAAGCCCATCACGGCCCAACTCCGGCAGGAAAAGGGCTTGCCCATGTTGTGCGAGTCACATGGTCGCGCCGTTCCCTGTCACTTTAAGTGAAAGCAGCTAAAGAAAGCTGAGCGGTAGAGAAGGAAATGACAATGATACAAGTTGAAAACGACAAAATCTGGTGAAACTTGCAAGCAAAAGCCCAAGAGTAGCAAAGCTGCAAAAAGCTGAGAATTCCGGGGAGCAAAAGGAAATGAGAAGGGCAAAGAATAAGCACTGATGAGCAGGAATAGCAACTGGAAAGCCAACGAACTGACTGACCGAACCATGGCAGAGCATTATATAGAGTTCCTCCAGCTTTTGGCTTTTCAAGCCAAGAGGCACAGGGTCTGCTGATGCTAGCATCGCTGAAAGAAAGGATTGCACGTGGTCATGATTTCTCGCGAGGCGTCTTCCCGCTTGTTCTGATACTCCGCGCACACAGCGCAACTGACTGGCTAAGGTCTCCTTCCCATCACGAGAAAAGTTCACAACATTCTCCGCTTGCATCAAATATGCATGTGCACAGGTACCTGTCCTTCGGGTTTTCACCACGCCGAGATCGAAATGGCCTTTCCTCTGTCAATAGCGCCACAGCAACATGCAAAGCAAGAACCCTCAACATTCTCGACCAAGAAAAGGAGAGGAAAAAGGAAGATAAGAACCAATTTCAAGAGCCCTTAGCCACTTAGCCGCTTAGCCCTTACCTTCCTTTTTCCTCTCTTGTTTCCTTTCAATCTCTCCATCTCCTCAACTCTGGTCACAAGATGTCACAAGAGGCACGCCTTGCGGGAGCCATACTGCAACGGTCTCATCTTCAGTAACTTTGGGTACTCCTTCCACAAGGCATTTGGAAGTGTTATATATATATGTACTGTGCTCAATCAGCGTTGCACTTGTGTAATTTCTCAAAATGCTACACGTCATGGCTATTCCATTTCTGTCCAGCGAGATGACATTGATCAGCTCGGCTGTTCCTTGCAAGTTATCAGAGCGTAGTACTGGCAGCTGATCACGAAGAGAAAGCCTACATTTGCAATGGCATGATCTGTCGGTTGACCACAAGAATACCACAAGAATGCTCACCTGCCTGACCATAGTTGCCAAGGCCAAATTCCTCAGTCCTTCGTAGGATAATTTTTTCAAATGTCTCAAATGGGGCATAGGCTGGTTAAGCTCCGAGAAGTCACCCTCCACAATGACAAGTGATTGAAGCCTGCCATGTGGGAAGCCACAAACATCCACAAACCATCACAAAAGTATAAGTTCTGAGAAAGGAAGAGCTAGTCTCAACTCGATTGTCATTGCTGTGCAATGTGCTCTACTTAGGCTCTCTTGCGATGTCATCTATTACCGAATCACCATTGGTTTTCCAGGAATAGTGAAATGCACATTGTCACAAGGAACCCTGCCTGCAGTACTCTGTGTGATGCAATTGGTTGCCAATTTGATTGACAAGCCGACAGTCGAACACTGAAGATACCAGATCACAGACGGCCTTCCTTTCTATGTAAATTTCATAGGGAAAGCTACCAAGAATAACGTCGCCCACACGTAAAGTCTCCACACAAAATGGGATTTCCATGCGTTTCCGTAGGCACTCCTCAGCTTCTGGCAGGATCTAGAGCAGCCATTGTGGAAAGAAAACAGTGTTCAAAAAGAAGAATGAGTCATTATTATGAAGTTGAGCCAGCAAAAAAGAAGCCTTATTGAAAAGACCCAAGCATCTGGATCTTGCTCTGGTGATAGTACATCTATCTATCTGTCTGTCTGTCTGTCTATCAATCTATCTATCTATCTATCTAGTCAGTTCCCATGCTGTTGTTTTCTCTGTTCTTCTAGTGCCAGGTTGGAAACCAAGTAAAAACTGATGACCTTGCTCAGTTCCCTCCAGCGCCAGAAGTTTTCTGAAGCCTGACTATGCAACTGGGATTCAATTAGTTTCTTTTCACGGGAATCAACTCGCACCAGAATGTTGGCATCTAAATGCTTCGATGGGTCCTGGCAGAAGTTTGCCAGAGTCAATTCCAAAATATTCGATCACTCTCACTACAACTACTTGCATTCCTACTATGATGACAAAAAAAACCTAATAATTACTGCTTCTACTCAGTTCTCACTGCGACAGCAACTTCATACTCCATGACAGGACCAACTACACCCTTGATTACTATTGCCACTAGCACTTCTGTCCCAAGAACTGGTACAACAAATCAAACCCACTTCCCGAGGAAATGCTAAAACCAATCAAAAAGGAATGCCACAAAATTGTTCAGAAGCACATTCAAGCTTGCACAGTGAAGTGTACTGGCAGTGCTCTTATTGTCTTATTGCTTGTGCATCTTGAACACCTGTTGAAACACGCGTCGAAAAAAATAACCTTTATGGTTGCAGCAAATGTGCTCTGAAAATGCAACTGAAAAAAATCACTCCAACTCGCAACCAAGAATACCAACACACCCAAAATTTGCTACAGAAACTCAAGCCTGGCATGACAGACCATTAATGCTGATGGCTCAGCTTCACAGGAAGTGACTCTGGCGACAAGATTTTGACCCTCTTGCCTCAGTCTCTTCAGCATGGTCTTGTGACAAGTAGTGCGCCCAAGCTCTCATAGTTTTGGACCACTTGCCTGAAAGGCTTGTGAGGCTTCTGCCTTGTACCACCAGCACCGCTTCCATTTGCATTTTCAGTGGGCAGAAGCTAAAGGACCACATGTCTCTACCAACACCCGTCTTGAAAAATCATGCATTTGGTTCACTCCAGCCTTCTACTCCAGCTTCATACAGGTGTTGTCCAAAGTTGCCTTTGAAACCTTTGAGAGCCACTATCACATCGGAGTCAGATTTCCTTGTCTCTGCAACAACTGGCAAACTGGTGAGGCTGCAACCAGAACACTCATGCAACCGTTGTTAGAATTTTGGTGATCTATCTTGAAACTAGTCGCAAGCAAGTACTCCAAACTGACATTGAAACTTTGAGCAAACAATCACTCAAAACCTAAAACAAGTTGGCCCAGCAAATCCCACGGTTCTTGGAAGTGAACCTGACTGGTTGTCCTCCTTTCATCACTTCGAAGCTTTCGGAGGTCACAAATCGCATCTGCACCGAATAGTGATGTCCACAGCGAGTGATGGCCCGGTGATGCAGAAGCTTCCGAAGCGTCCACATCGTGAATTCTGTGCAATTTCTGCAAGCAAAAAACTAACATGCTTGAGAACAAATCTCACTGAACAGCACAGCCTGCATGTGGGAACGGCCAAGAATACTTGTCGCATGTGGATAAAGCATTAAAAGAACAGTTTAAACAACCATCATCCATCTCCAGTCCAAGGAAGTTTCCAATGAAGGTTGCAATCCCTTCTGTTGAGTGTGGGCCAAGCCTGAAGTTGAGTTCCCGAACAAGATCGAACCTGAGCATTTCGAAAACAAACCTGCTGCTTCAATGTCCTACCCTTGCAAATATGATATGCCAGCGCAAGCGCATTTGCAAAGAAAAAAACAGTGACAATGCGTCAAGGTCTAACTTTGCAGATGTGATTTGGCGCAACACCTTAGCCTCAGGTTTTGACTCTTCCAAAGAATCCATGGCATGGGCGACGGAAAGTCTTGGCAACTTGTCCAAAAGACACTGTCACAAGGTTGTTTGCTCCAAGTGCGCATGTTATTCATCTGTCGCTTTGAATGTTGAAAAGCAATGGGTAAGCGAAACAATATTCTGTTGGTGGCGTGTTCATAATCCACTGGTGAACGCAAAGATCTGACAAGGTTTGCATGCTCAGCCACTCTGCGCAATGTCACAAATTGTCACCAATGTCGCCATCCAAAAGCATACATTGATCAACTGCACGCTGAATGCCAGCATCATTGAATGCTGCAAAACAATGGTTGAAAATTGCAAAATCATCTGCTGAGTGGCTGCAGTTGCGAGTTGCAACAAGTACCACGACATCACAATAATGCAAAGCAATGGCACAAATCAGCCTGCTTTGCGTGTTGAACCAAACTGTTACAAATTGGCAAACCGGCACGTCAAAGTTACAATCAAAACCCAATGCGAAAGATCCAAACTGGTAACGACACCTGCACCCAAATTAAAAAACGACTTCAAAATTATCTATCCCAAACAAAACACTATTGTCTATTGCCCGTCAATTCAATCAGAACTCCTCCAACTTGAGGGGCCAAATGTTCTTGATCATTCCTATGACAAAACAATTTTTTCCCTGGGTGCGCGTGCAAAGGTCGAAGTCTAACGTATCCATCACATTCTGGTCTGATTTCGTGGCATCAGACAAGTTGTTTTGTGCCCAGAGTTTGCTTCAGAGCGACTTTGGGTTTCTCTTCAGTCTGATAGAAGAAAGAGTGTCTGAATGTGTTCTTTCCTTGCGCGTTGACAGGTTAATGCCAAACCTCACAAAGTGGAAAGGAGACCAAAGAAGGTGAAAAGTCGGAGGTCCGAACGCGCAAGATCAACTTCACCGGCGAGACTTATGAGGGATGGGTCAGAAGCGCCATCATCTTTGCCAAGTCACCTCCTGGTCATCTTTTTCAAAAGCCGCCCCCCTACCCCCTAGACTCCTAACACATGAACATGTTGCGAGGTTTTTAGAAGAGATGTGGAGGAGTGAGTTCCCTGTATTTTGTAGGAGTATATATTTAAAACAGGGTGGAGGATTAAATATATTGGAGGAAACAAGTGGAGGAGAATTGCACTCCTCCACATTTTGTTGTTGTGATTTGTTGTGTAAGAGAGATCATTCCGTTTCACAAACTGTTTTTGGTGTTTTTCTTGAATAGAATTTCAGCGGAGGAGCGGAGGAGTGGTTACGAAGATGACAATTTTGGGTGTGGGCATGGGAATTTCACGATTGGTAGACACCGTTTCCGGCTTCAAAACAATTTGCAATTCTTCAGACCAACCAAAGTACGCCTCAGTAACCGATCCCCTGCGGTTTGTCCGACAGTGACCAGTTCTGGCTCAAGGAACGTGTGGTGGAACGGTGCGAGCTGATACCTTGAGAAATCGAAAGTTGGGTGTTGCCAGAATTTTTGTTTCAGAACGGTTGGGGGTGTTCATACAAGTTGCATCTCTCACATCGGCATACCCTAGTGTTGGTTGATCACAAGGTGCTAGTTGTGCAACGCAGGGGCGTGTGCATCACTTGCATCACCAAGTGGCCACAGCCAGATATATCACTGTTTTCATCCTAGTTGGTAGTCTTTGCTTTCGGGGCAACGGAGGCGGATCTGCAATGTCGGGATCTGCGGAAGTTCAAGGGTTTTGAAGATGAACAGCATGAAAGAGTGCGTTTGGTTTTCTGGGCCTCTTTGAGCAGTGAAACCAAGAAGAGATTTCTTTTCCGAACGAATGTCTTGAAGTTTGAAAAATTTGTGGAGTGGTTTTGTCTGACGTTTGCAGCTTTGAAATCGCATCGAGTTACGGTTTTAGTTGACTACAGGCCCTTCGGGCCCACTCGGCCGCTTGCCAATGTGTGCTTTGCATGGATTCAGCGACCTCATCCGGGAGCTCAGATTCATTGCGGGAAATTTGGTTGAAAGAAGATATCTCAACTGCATCTCTGCCATCAATAGCATATGCCTTTGATGAAGAGTTTGAGGCATCTCCTGTTTATTCAGTTGGGATCGAAAGCATTGCAAGTCCATTGAGCCGTAGACGACCTTTTTTTTGGGCACGCGAACGCTGCAAGTATCGAGAACGTTGGGGATTTGTCAAGCTCTTCCATTTTAGACGACTGCCATTCCTCTTTTTGAGAGCTTTTTGACTTCGTGCATTCTTGGAGCAACGATGTGGGCAAGTTCACGAACAAGTCTGGATCTCGGTCACCGATTCATAAGTCCAATGAGGGGATGATTTTGACACAGTTTGACGGAGTTGGGGGCGGTTCGCCATTGAATCAGTCTTCAAACAAATCTTTATTGCGATTTGAAAGACGACGGAGTGTCTGCGACTTGGAGCTTTGAGTGCGATGCAAATGTGCTTCAAGACAGTGGGCCGCAACTGTTGCAGTTCACGCAAAATGCGTCGAAACATCGAGGGCTTTTGCCCTACTTTTGAGTCCGCATTCTGTCCCATGGAGAAGCTGTTCTGAGAGGGTTCAAACGACTGAGGATTTTCTTCGGTAGCTCAAGTTGTTTGAACTTGCAGTTGCGGGTGGCCAGTGATCTTTCCTCAATTTACGAACTCTTTCGGGGTGAGTTTTGCTTCTTCCATGAAGGTAGGTATGCCAATGACATCCAAAGAGATGTCCTTGCACCTGAGGACAGGAAAATAGAAGTTTCTCGCAAGAACCTTTCCAGCATCAACTGATCGAAAATGATGGGTCCCAAAAACCTCTCTCCTGTTTGCCAACCCCCAATCCCAGAAAAAAGGTCAAAAACCTCCAAGCCGGTGTCACAATGCTTCCTGATTGACGACCGCTTGCACCAAGGCATGTCGCTCCGAAGGAAAGTGAACAAAGAACCAGGACAACTGTCAAGCATGCCCAATGGGCCACAAGCTTCAAAGCCGCGGCTCAGCCATGAGTCGTGAACAGAAATGCGAGGAAAGGTCAAGACGCATCACAATGACCCTCAATCGAAAATCTTCCAAGTGCAATGAACACCCTGGAAAGAAACCTGAAAGGAAAGTCACAGGCCGAACCACCAAAACAGGCAACCCACAAACAAAAATACGGCCACAGACATCGCAGATCCAAAGTGAATCAAGTCCAGTGCAAGGGACCTCTGCCTCGTTCTTAGCTAGGAAAATTTGACAATCTTCAACCCCAAAGTTCCCAGCAAGTTGATGAGACTTTTTCTTCTTGCGTTGTTTTGGAAACATAGGAGAAGTGGGAACTCTTACTCACTGCCCCTTTCCAATTGCCAGTCGGAAGTCCAGCGTGTCAGCCTTGGAGTGGAGCCTCAACGCAACAAGGGCTCGCATGCGTTGACGGTGTTTCTTTCACGAAAAATGTTTTTCATTGTGCGTTCCGCTCGCGGTGTCGTGACAAGTTGTGGAGGAACACAGTGTTGAGCATTTTGTTGGGCATCTCTGGCTTGAGAGGGTTGCTCCTTTCAAGAGGCATCGAATCCTTCGAAACAGGAATTGTTACTCGAGAAAGAAACCCAAGAACACCCAATCGGTCAGCCTTACAAAGGAAAAGTTCATTCCCAAGGACTTTGTTTCCAACACGCAGCTGCCAAACTTGGCATCCACCCGAAAAATTGTGATTGACAAACTCGCTCAAACCACCAACCGTCTCCAAAGGGCAGATCCCAAAAGGATTCACCACAAATGGTTGAAAAGGAAGCAAGACCCGGATCACCCCACCAAACCACCGTCTTTCGGGGTTACAACCACCACTGAGGATCTTCCATGTACGCTGGTTTTTGGCAAAGCGATGCTGATGACCTCTCCACATGAAATCCCGGACGAGTGCACAGCATGAAACGCAGTTTCCGAAAACCGTCACGAACCTGAACCTCCAAACCTGTTGTAGGTCCTGAAGCAATCAATGTCCATTATCGTTCCATTTGTGCTGGTGTGGAGCCAAAACCATTGAAGAAATTGGGGGTTGAGTTTGCCAAGATCTTGGTTGCTCGTGGGGTCTCAGAGTGTTGGGGAAAGGATCAGTCAAAAAGATCCCACAACAGAAGCTGGTTGGCTGTTTGAAAAGGATCCGATGTTTGGAAGGCTTTGAAGCTTGAGGCAAACGAGGCCAATGTTCAGTTGGTCACACCCTCAGAGCGCGCAAGTTTTGAGAAACATTTTTGCAGAAGGATGACAGTGGAAGAGTTACAAGGCAGGGAAAAATCGTGCGAAAAAACACAAACAGAAGGTTGTGACCTTTGAGGATGCCATATAAAGCACCTCCATTTCCTCATCCATCAAACTTCACATACCTCCTTGCTTTCGACAAACCTTGTCT